GTAAAAAAAAAAAAAAAAAAAAAAAAGAATAGGAGCCTTTTCACTTGGGCAGCATTTGGAGTGTGTGTGTATGAGGGGGACTGACCTTTAGGGGAACAGGACTAGAGAGAGAGTTACACAGACTCTGAGGGAAGAGTCAGGCAAGAAGGAAATGAAGACATCATTGCTTCTTCCTTTACTTTAAGGATTACAGGTGTGAGCCACCACACCCGGCCCAAAAGCCAGGTTCTTATCAGGCCATGCTCCAAGGTCACTGGCCGGTTTCCAACTGTGATGATGAGAAGCCTGGGAGGGAACTGCTCTCTGCTGGTTTTCAGCAAGTCATTTCAGCTCATTCAAGTGCTTCCTAGGAGCCTCCCTACGTTCCCCAGGGCTGGGGATTTGGCAACAGAGGCTGAGGGGAGGGGAGCTGTGGCTGCATGCCCAGCAGGAGGCATCTCCTTCTGGCCCAAAAGCTAGAGAACAGGTGGCACAGAGATACGCCCTGGGCCGGCAGGCCTCTATAACCTGGGATTCCCGGTTTCTGAGCCTCAGTGTTAAGGGTCTGCTAGTGAATGAAGGGAAGATGAAGAGAAAGAGCTTCCTGAAAAGTCTGATGCTTTTCACACTTTCCAGGGCATGGGGATCACCCCCGAATCTTGTTAAGATGCGGATGAGGATTCGGTGGCTGTAGCCCCGGGGCCTGAGATTCTGCATTTCTAGCAAGTTTTCAAGTGCTGCCTTTGCTGTTGCGCACGGTCTAGGGACCACACCTTAATCTGCAGGGCGTCTCTGTCCTTAGCGGCTAGTGCGTTGCCTGTCACAAAGCACGCGCCTTAAAAATTATGTCACTTGAGTGAATGAATCAGTCAGTTGAGAAGTAGGATTTTCCGCTACCTAAATCACCCGCGATGTTAGTTAAAATACAGATTCCCAGCCCCTTCCCTGGAGTTTCGAAATCAGTAGGTCTGAGGTGGGGATGGGGTATTTGCATTTTAGACACGCCCCCTGGGTGACTACTCCGATCCTGGCAGTGTGGGGAACACCGGTATAAGAGGTAGGAGGGAAGGACTCTGCGGTCTGAGTCCAAGAAGCACAAAGATGCTCAAAACGGAAAACCAGGGTCTACGGAGAAGGGGTGAGAAGGCCCTCGACTCAGCTGCCGAGAGAGGCCAGGGCTTACGCGGGACTCAGGGCCCTCGGGGGTGGGGACTGGAAATGAAGAAAGCTTCACTGTGGCATCATTGAAGACTATTGGACCAATATTACTTATGAATATTAACACAAAAATTCTAAATAAAATATTTAAGAGTCCAAAGTCACGCTATATAAAAAGTTATATACCATGGCCAACTGGGGTTTATGCCAGGAATGCATTATATTTTCATATTACTTATTCCACATTCTGCAATGTTTTTAAGTGCTGTGTCAGGTAAGAGAGCTAGGGAGGTCAGCTTGCTATCAGGTAACTTACCTGTAGTTGTTCTTTTTTGAATTTTAGTTAACTGGTACCTACCCAAATGTACACACTTTCTTCCCAAATCTCAGTATGACTCACAATTAAAATTAAATT